GTCCACGCATGTACTCGGCGAGTTCATTAGAATGTTCCCGAAAGAAAAGTCAAGATTCCTTACCGAACACGGATTTCACATTAGTACTCGGCGAGTCCACGACCTACTCGCCGAGTAGCCCCTGTTTTGTGATAATTATAAATAGCGGGTCTTAATCCGATTAAAGGACCTCTGGAACCTTTGGGGAGAAGCAAGCTGCGATTGAAGAGCCAGAAGAACCCTAGAGAACGAAGATACAACCTAGAATCCAATTCCGAAGAAGATTTGAGGCATATTCTCATCATTCTACTTAATCTATTGTTTCTCAATTATGGTTAGACAATTAGAATTCGTTTTATTGCTGTTAATTACCTCAATCATGAGCTAAAACTCTTAAACTTCTGTTTGGGGATACAAAATTGATATTATGGTTTGATTAATGGTAGGATTAATTAAATATTGGTGATTTTGTTAATTTTAGCTTGTTAAAGAACCTTGTGTGTGAATGATAACTAATTTTCTGTTAATAGGAAGATAATTAAATAGTATGAACATCTTTTAATTATCAACCCCATATGTTTATGTGACCACTTTATCATATGTCTAGGACTAACGAACGCGAAACTAGAATTAATAAGAAAAATTAGGTAAATTCATGTGTGAGCTTGTTTGATGACCATCAGCAAGAGGTTAACTAAAGGACCAATTTAGTTAGCTATTATAAGTCTAAATTAACCCGAATAAATAATCTAGTGAATTAAATTAAATTAGACAACTGATCACTGTTTGAGTTAGTTTGTTTTCTAAGGATTATCGTAGCGAATGCAAGGCTAATCACTTGAATCGGTAGCCAATAGAAGAATTAATCCATTGCACTATTACCATAATATCAACCATAGGATCAATTGAGTTGAACTAAACAGAAGTCCCTTTATTATTAAATTCAGTTAAATCTTTGTTTTTCTAGTTCTTAGCCTAAGTAGTATTAGTAAGTTTCTAGTCTTGTAAAACTAGAGAAAACCCATATTTACTATTTAATTTAGATAAAATTAGTCTTTAGTTTTAATTTACCGTTCCCTGAGTTCGACACTCTACTTACCCAACTATACCACTAAAAGACAGGTTTACTGCCTTTGTGTGCTTAATTTATAACTCAAAAGTAGGATTAAAACCAGTGCATTTCACACTCATCAAGTAGCAACGGGCTTGGTACGCGTGTTTAGTGACCTACTCGCCGAGTCCATGAAGGGACTCGACGAGTAGGAGCTGGCAGAGGAAACCCTAAATCCCGGGGTTTTGCACCCTATTTAAGGAAGCATAAGCCTCCTTTAGCCTCTTTGCAGTCCTTTGAGAGCTCAGAAAACCCTAATTCGTGTGGTATTTCATTCTTGTGTGTGTAAAGCTTTGGAGAGGAGATCTTTTGAGAAGAGGAGCTTGGGGAACAAAAGGCTAGGAGCAAGGAAATGTGGGAAATCAGAAATCTACCTCAGATAGCATCATTTGGAGGTATCAATTCGTCACCTTTTCTCCTTTTTCTTTCTAGACATTTTTTGGTTGAGATCTAGGGTTTTTATGGTTTGGTTGAGATGGTAATGTGGGATATAAGCTAGATCTGAAGTTGTAACTTCAGATCTGTAACCTTCTTGGGTCTAGAGTCATAAAGCTCCGAATTTGGCCATGTATGAAGCCTCTTTGAGTATGAAACCCCCATTGTGAGCTTGGATTTGACATTAAGAGCCTTTGTAGCTATGCATGCACGTAAAGTTTGCAACTTTACGTGAAAAGCATGCCTTAGAAGCTTGGATCTGTAGTTTGGAGCCGATGCATGGCTCAAATGAGTCTGTATGGCAAAAAGGACTGAAGGGACTCGGCGAGTCGCATGGTCGACTCGGCGAGTCATAAGAAGATAGGCATGAACTCGACGAGTTAGAAGAACAACTCGGCGAGTCCAATGAAGATTGTCGTTGACTCGACGAGTGGATGAACAACTCGGCGAGTCGGATGAGGTTGCCCCAAATTATGTATGCGCGGGTAACTGTCGAGTTGCAAGAAGGAAGCTCGACGAGTGGCCTTAGGGTCTCGATCGTAAGCCAAAGGAACTCGACGAGTCACTCAGGTGACTCGACGAGTGGGTTAGTACTTCAAGGAACTCGACAAGTAGCCGGGGGTACTCGGCGAGTCAAGGTCAACATGGACTGTTGACCTTGACTGATGACTTTGACTTTAACCAGGGTTTGTTTAGTTGGCTTATGGGTATGATTATACTATGGTAATAGGTGGTGGAGTTTGTGGCAGTGATCCAAGGGTTGAAGTTTATCTACCGAGTCGACATCTGCAAGGTGAGTTATCCTCACTATATCGATAGGGTCTAAGGCACCAAGGCCGACCCTTTTAGTTGTTATTGTTATGGTATGCTACATGTGGATATGATCTGTTAGATCAGAATCAGGATAGACAGTATGTTATGCTCTTATGATCCGTAGGGATTGATATGTTAGTGACCTGCTAGGTCAGTGCTCTAGTTATGAGAGATTGCTATGTTTGGTGCTCAGTGAGATAGATATGTTTGATGGTTGTATATGCCAGTATATGTTAGTTATGCGCACATGGTTATTTGGTTGTTGCTTGGGTTGAGGCGGTCCTACTTTGTGCTGAAGGCCAACACACCCTATGAGCAGTCCGGGAAGACTGTAGGCCCACGTGGCGGTCCAGTCATGCCGAAGGCTCAGTATAGATTCAGTTGGACTGTAGGCCCTGTAAGGCGGTCCAGTCAGGCCGATGGTCCAGTATGCATATTGATTGATTGATTGATTGATTATTACAGATATGGTATTATCCGTGTGGTATTGGTATTTTGGGGGTAGCTCACTAAGCCCTCGGGCTTACAGTTTTCAGTTTATTGTTTCAGGTACTTCAGGAGTTCATGGCAAGGCGAAGGCGTGACCGTACCGCTCCTCATCCTTATGATCTGGCTTTTGGGACACTCTGATTGAATAATGAATTGAAAACATTTTTTTGTAAACAATACTATTGGGTTTTATTTATGCTTGAAAAGTTTAAATTTGGCGTAAAATTTTTGGATGTTACAATAATATATCTATCGATCATATATTGATCTATTAATATCATCCAATCTCTCATCTATAATATATTTCTCAACATTTTCTCAATCTCTCAATCAAGAATTAATATTCTAATTAATAATAAATTATATAATAATCATCACAATTATCACAACACTGGATGTTTGAGTAGTGTTACTCACCTGGTTAGTCGATAGACTTATTCCAGTCTCAGCTTTGCTTTTCCACTATCTATCAGCTCGTCACATGCTAACACCTATTTATCAAATAACAAGTTCCTTAGAACCTGTCCAGACTCACTAATAATTATACCTTGTGGCCTCTTATAACAATAATAACCAAATATCATAATATTATCATAATAGGCTAAACCCGTAAGCCCGTGGCTAAATCTCTCATATTGGGTATTTCTCAGGTAATAGGGTTTATAACCTTTATCAACCAAACTCGATATCTAATCATGAGATTTTCTCACTAGTCTCACCAACGGGTTCATAATAGCTCCATATCACAAATACCCGTAACCCTTACATGGGTCTAATATATCTAATAATAATCAAATATCATAAATATAATTTATCGTGTAAAAGATACATCATTGTGTCCCGCAACTCAACTCTGTATCACCCATACGCCAACATAACATCTTTGGTATAGACTCCCGAGAATGGCTCCCGAGCATCATCTCTCCTCACGTACGCCAAAATACTCCTAAATGACTCAAAACACTCATATTTATACTCTGGGGATGCTCACGTCGTAAGCATATACCTCTCACGTCGTGAGAAGTGTTTAGACCGGTTTCTGCCACATGTCCTACTCTTTCGACACGTGTTTTTGTCGATTCATGTTGCTCACGTCGTGAGACAACATTCCTCACGTCGTGAGAGTCAAAGGTTTGACCGTTGACTTGATTTTTGTTGACTTTCTCAATATAGCAGCGTACTTTCATCAAATCTTCAAACGATCATAACTTCCTCATACGGACTCTGTTTTTGATGATCTTTTTATCCACGTAATCTTCTCAACAAGATCTACAACATTATTTGATTGTCTTTTTATAAATATTATTCCTAAAAATAAAGCAACTCAAGGCTTTATCTCATTTACTCGACTCATAATATCTATATTTCGTAAAATAACACATGTTATGAAAGCTGGGTGTTACATTAAGCCTCTTTGTCCTTATCCACATCTTCATTTCTATCTCCACCAAAAGCAAAATCTTTACCCGAATGCAAATACACGCAATAGATTTAAGCCACTTTAACGATTTATAATCTACCTTTGGTTTCATCTTTTTGATGGTGATCAGAGGGGACTAACATGAAGCTTTCCGTTCCCTGTCTTGATTAAACATGAAGCCAGTCACCGAAAAAACCATCATAGCGTAGAAAGTCAAGTGATTAAAGTTTTATGCGTTGGATTTCTCACCATCACATGAACCTTCTTGTCGTTCTCATCTTTATGTTTTTTATTTTCTTACATTTGCATCATCAGATACGGGATAAGAGAGAAGAGAAAGAGATTCAAAAAAATAAAAATGGGTATCAGGCGGGTGGAGAGAGATAGGCGTTAGAAAATGGATGGGTGAGATGAGGTCTAGGGAAAAAAAAATCATGAAATGACGAAAATTTCTGACTTTTAGAGACATAAGAATTAACGGATGTTTATCCGACTTTTAGAGACATATAAGAAATAACGGATATTTTGGATAAACAGTTAGATTAGGAGACCAAATCTGTATTAAAATTTTTTAATTTTAGATGATCATACAAAAAAAAAAATACAACTCAAACTACAATTTGTGATAAACCATGTCGACCAATTTTACAATTTACTCGTAAACAAATAAAATCGAACTCGTGGCATATGAAAAATGTGGGATTAGTGGGCATAGATACCACCACATACCACCTCCTTTATTCCATTCTTTACATTCAAAGAAGTCAAAAAACGACTCCTTCTTTACACTCACTAAAGGAGCAAAACACTTTAATCCATTGCAATACTAGAGAGAAAAAGAACCCCAAAAGAAAGAAACAAAGGAAAGGGGTTTCATTATCGGAGATAAAATATAACAGCAACACCCATAATACATCGAAGAGCTAGTATAGTATACTGCTTCCGTTTCCTGATTTTCTCTACTTTCAAGCATTCTACCACTCGTTAATGGAGGTCATAAACAGATATGTCGCCATAAAGGCCCCAATCGATGGCGTACCAAAAGAGAGCGATTTCGAACTGATGAATCAAAAGTTTTCGCTATCGATTAAGCGTGGATCCAAAGAGATCATTATCAAGAACCTTTATGTATCAATTGATCCGTATCACGTTAACCAAATGAAGACCACCGGTGCTTTAGGTAGAACCATCGTTCCTGGAGAGGTTAGATCTCAACTCAGTAATCAATCAGTTTTTTTTTTTTCTTTCTTTTTATTTTTTATTATTTTTTCTTTTAAATAACGTCCCTTTTAATACCTCATAAATCAGATATTCACAAAATTGACCACATTATTCAAATTAGTTACATATGAATAGTTTATTTGGTTATAAATGTTTATAATTTATAAAATCATTGTAACAAAAAATGAAAGACAAATGTGTAAACTTTTTCATGGACAAATTGGTGAATGTTATATATTTATTGTTGCTTCAGGTGATTAATAGTTATGGTGTAGGAAAAGTAATAGCTTCGGGGAATCCTAGATTCGCAAAAGGTGATTATGTTGTGGGCAATATAAGTTGGGGAGAGTATTCCATTTCAAAGGGCTTCTTTCTAAGAAAATTGGATCCAATGGGTTTACCATTATCATACCATATTGGGGTTTTAGGTAATTTCATTTTTTTTATCAATCTACTTTTGTTACTAAAATTACAAGTTATCATCACAATATCGTAATAGATACTAGAATTTTGTGCCAAATATATAGCATCGGGTAAAACGATTGTCACAAAAAATGGAATTTGAAAAATTCATACAAAAAATCTTAAATATGGTTTTATGGATATTTTATGTATGAAATACAGGGCTTAGTGGGCTTACTGCTTATGCGGGATTCTTTGATATTTGTAAGCCCAAGAGAGGTGAAACCGTATTTGTCTCTGCTGCTTCTGGATCGGTAGGAAATTTGGTGGGCCAATATGCAAAACAATTAGGGTGTTATGTTGTGGGCTGTGCTGGTAGCCCAAAAAAGGTTTCTTTTATTAATTTTTAATTCTATATTCGTTCATTTTTTTAGGTTAAGCATTTAATCTCGATAGTTATAACTTAATTACTGTTTTTTCACTTAATTTGAACAAAATACTTAATAAATTAAGCCATCAAAAACTTGACTTGGTGTATTAACACACCAACCATTTATCTACTTGCCCCTTTTTTCCTCAAAACTATTTTTACGTTAAAAATGATCATATTTTTAAATTGCTGTGAAAATTATTTGTTCAAATGTAGTTGTAAAATGGTCATTTTGAAGGTTGTTTTTTTTCCACATTAGTCCTATACGGATAAAATTGATGAGTTGTAAAGATGCATGTTTGGATAAAATGTTATATACATAATTGTCTATATTAAATAAATCTTATGAATAAAACAAAAATGAGCATTTTACCCATATATTTAAAAAAAAAACAAATTTTACAATATTCATCACTTTTAATGTGAAAGAAGTTAAGAGGGAAAAAATGCAAATAGGTAAAAGTCTATAGACTTAATACATTAAGCCATGTTTTTTATTGGCTTAACCCGTAAAGTCATTATGTCCATATTAAGTGAAAAACAACAACCATATATAGCTGTCCAGATTAAGTGTTTAACTCATTGAGCTCATTAAAACAAAAAGAAACAAATCCCTCTCATTTAGACGAATTATCTCGTCTAGACTAGAGAAAACAAACATTATATATAAATTTTATCATTTTATCGAGACAAACATCATTACCCATTTAATCATTTACCCATAGAAGATTTAATGGGAAGAAAACAGTCATTAGATTCTTGTTTCCTATAGTCTAATGTGTTGCATTTAGGTTAAATTACTTAAAGAAAAGCTTGGTTTTGATGAAGCCTTCAACTATAAAGAAGATACCGATTTAAATTCAGCTCTCCAAAGGTATTGACATTGCCGAAATCTTGAGTTATCGAGAAAAGAGACACATATTTAATATATTATTTTATTCTAGGTATTTCCCTAATGGGATAGACATATACTTTGACAACGTGGGAGCTCAAATGCTAGAGGCAGCAATATCAAACATGAACTTATATGGTAGGGTTGCAGTTTGTGGGGCCATTTCAGAATACACAGACAGTGAAAAACACGCAAAACTAGATATGTTAAGCATTATATACAAAAGAATCATTATTCAAGGATTCATAACTCACGATTACATGAATTTGTTTCCCGAGTTTGTTTCCAAAACCGTTGATTACATTCTTGTGGGAAAAATACATGTGCTTGAAGATGTTTTGATTGGTATAGAGAGTGTTCCTTCGGCTTTTGTTGGAGTTTTTCATGGGAATAATGTTGGGAAAAGAATAGTTAAGATCGCGGATGATTAAGGATAGAAACATAAGTTATTTCTTATTACCAAAACCAATCGTCAAGATGTTTTGTCATGAATTGTTTCATGTGACACTTGTTGTATGTTGATAAAGAGATGGTTTGTATTGGTCTTAACTATCATTAATAATACTTTACCTTCATATTTCTATAGCATTAAAATCATTAACTTTTAAATGCAGAATTTGGGGTCATACTCAAAAGTTGCAACTAAAACACTACAAAATCCAAAATAATAATTCAATTTTAATCCTAAACCCCAAAGATCCAACTTAAGTCACTCAAGTTTTAATTGCACCCAATAGACCAACAAACTTTTTTTTGGTTCTATTATACCATTGAAACCAATGATAGCCGATTTATCAACACACACGGAGTCCACGTCACCAATTGTGTCCACGTAATCGATGGTATAATAAAACCAAAAAGAAAAGTATGTTGGTCCTACAACTAAATAGGTTTAATGACTTGAAAACAAATAAAATATTATTGGTTGTTATTTTATGACAGTTTCATAGACAATATTAAAAAACTTTTAAACACCATTTATAAATCCAAATCTTCGATTTTGCCTCAACTTACTTGTCTTAAAAATGTTTAGACCAATCATAAAACAATTAAGATCTTTTTCAACTAGAATTTTTAATTTTCTTCTACCTATATAACTATTTCTAAGAAGTTGACAACAAGGAGACTACCCAAGCCATTGAATCAAGAAGGAGCTTGACTCAAACTAGTTTGAAGCCCTATCTATCCCTCCATAAAAATGCAAATGCAAATATTAACTTTTACAAATAAAAAGCAATAATGAGATAAACAAGACACATAAACCTAAAGGGGTCAAAGTTTTACATAATGAACCATGAAAATCAAAATACTTACATTACCACCTCCACAAAACTATAACCATTAGAAGGATTAAAACGACACTAAATAGTTTTTTTTAAACATTAATTAGGACCTAGTAGTATTAATCAACTAGCTTACTCTTCATTTCATCATCTCTTCTTCATGCAATTTCATCAACTTTTCCCTTCATTTCTTTTGAACTTTCAACCTTCTCCTTCCTATACATGTTTAAGAAAACCGATTACACAAGATGACAATATAAATGTGAAATTACCTAACTACCATCAACTTTAATTGTACTTTTAGATATTATAATATCGATTACACAAGATGACAAATACCTTTCATCTACACAAGATTTCTCAATCCTCTTGCTTTCTTCCTTTTTGTATGCATTTCGCGCATCTTGAATCACTTTCAATTGGTCCTTAAAGAACTTTTCTTGAAAGTCCATCTAATAAAAAATATACAATTACATAAAAATGTAACCAATTAGCTTTGTGAGTGTTTCTCTTTTTGACTTAATACAAAAAGAACGAATTAAATGAGGCTTTAACTTTTTTACCTCTTCTTTGTTTTGTTCATGGTAGAGTTGTGTTCTTTCTCTCACAATGCGGCTTTCTTCTTCAAGTTTTTTCAGCTTTTGAGACACTATCCAAAAGCTTTCTTCAAGTGCTTTTAAACTTATCTCTTGTTTGGCTACTTTTTTCTTATACCAATGCAACTGTTGGCTATCCTCATTCATTTGCTTCAACCTTTTCACAACCTTCTCTTGATATGAAACCAACTCAAACTTCATCTTTAATTTTGCTAAATAAACACATTCCAAAACTCAAAATCATGATATTGCACTAAAACTAACACCCCTTTTCTTGTTTGATACAAAAGACAATATTTTTGATGATCAGGATGAGGAGGGCATTTATGTCTTTTGCACAGACAAGAGATCAAAAGTTAGTCCATGTCTCTCCCACCTTTTGAGGTTATTGACATCAAAAAGTTGCAATTTTTATAAGTCCAAGAGAAAGGACAAGTGTATATAGTTGCATACCATGTGAGTATTGGTTAAAGATTTCCAAGTCTTCTTTTGTAGCCATGAAACCGTATAATTGTCTCTTATTACCCTCAAGATGGAAAACATTTGGGTAATGATCCCACGCATCTCTACCTAAACCTTCAAGTTCAAACTCCTTGCTTAATCTCTCAGCCTCAAGATACCCAACTGCTGACGTGTCAAATATCAACACACTCATCCCTCTATGCCCTTCAGGGCCAAATGAGCTTCGGGCTCTCACAGCTTCATATGAATCAAAGTAACTAAGAAGCTCTTGAGTTCCAATTCCAATCCACTGAAACTCACATTCATTTTCACAATCAAAAACTTAAAAAAAGAAAAAGAAATAAGGGTATAAGATATAAGACATACCTTTTCATTTTCATCTTGTTGAAGCTGTGTATTCATGACAATCACCATTGGAGGCCAGACAATTTCATGATCTTTAACATCTTTATCAAGTCCTTTCCATTTTCCATAAGACTCACCACTTTGAATCACCATAGCCCCTCTTCTACAAAGTTCTTCATCCAGAAGTTTAGCAAGATCTCTATGAAGCTTTGGCCTTCGTGTCCCTTTGGTTTTGATATGTGTGAGAAATGATTTCATACCTCGATACCACTTTATAGAACAAGGGCCATTCTGGCAAGCTGGACAATGCCATTGTCTAACTGGCTCGTTGATTTGCTGAGGTGTCAGATCATCTAAAATTCCAAAGAATTCAGAAAACCATGGGTTCTTTTTACGGGTGTCATGGCTCTCTTGACTGTCGTCTGAATCATAATCATCACTTAAAAGTTCATCTTCAGATACATAATTGTAATCCCCAGAAATTTGATTGTTAGTTGATTCATCAGTTTTCTTGGTATCAGGTTGAACCCATGAACGCCAACCACCTCCATCTCCAGTTTTGTTTCCCAAAAAGAGGTCCCAACTGTTGTTTTGGTTGGAATTCAGGCTCATATCTACAAAACCCTGGTTCAATTGGTCAACATCAGAGTTAGGAGAGACAGCCATGGTTGTACCCTTCTGTGAAGACTCGTTGCTGTCGCCTCTACTGCCTCCGCTGGTAGTCATCTGCATGCATTCAGATTTCGTGTTCATTTTCTCAATCTTTTAAGGCTGATCACTTTGCTTATGCAACGAAGGTACAGAAATATTGCGGTACAAATTAGTAAAATAAAGCATAAATTGGTAAAACCCTAAATTAAGTAAAACAGGCAACAGACAACGAAAAATTGTTTCGGGAACATCATAAATACATTTATAGATAAAGAATAAGGTTCTAGCTCTTTCGATTTGGAGGTTTTTGTTTCATGAATGTAAAACCCTACAGGGGTTTTGAGTGTGTAAAAACACATACATTGCAGCGACAAATGAAGAAACAGCGTCGAAATGCAACGATTGAGAGGCATATTGAGGAATCAGAAGATTACCTGAAGGAGATATCCGTAGCTCGAAGGGAAACGAAGGAGGAGAAAACACGATCGCCGTGTGGAATAATAGTGTGTGCCAAAACAAATGGGGGGAGGGGGGGAGTGTTGAATAGTGTGTCTGTTACAACTACAAGGGGAATATGAATTATGAAAGGACTAAAAGCACGTCTGAGCTCTTTTTGAAATGACTAGAATGCCCATAATTTGTGTGTGAATTATAACTTTGCCCTATGTTCCTTTAATTTATTTCATTTTCATTCTTTTGCTTTTATGATTTTGGCATAATGAGTTGAGATAATAACCAACATGACGGGGGATAATAAAGAGGATTTCGGGGCGGGGGCGGGGACGGGGGCGGGGATAATAAAGAGGATTCGGGGGCGGGGGCGGGGACGGGGGAACGGGGAAATTTCGGGAGCGGGGGCGGGGGATGCACTCCCCATACTGTTTACCCCCGTTGACATCCCTAATGACTAAGAAATTATCAACACGACATTGTTTTGTTATATAATGGGTGAAAATTTTTGATTTGGCCTTAAGCATCGATACATTTAGCTTTTGATCCACAAACACAAAAATAACTACCTAGATTTTTACATATTAATACAAGAACAATAGTAAAAAGGTAGTTGTCGTTTTTTCTCATTTTATTTATTTATTTATTATTTTTTTATAGGCTCATTTTTTTAGTTTACCAAGAAGTTTTACAAAATTACATCAAATAAAATTACAATGCAAAACTAGATACAAGCTACATAACTAACAAAAAGTAGATCTAGCAAACCTAAACTTTAAAGATAAGCAAAAACTAATTTGAGATCAAGACGGAATTGTGTCTAGATCATTAGCAAGATGGTATGGAATGCAAAAGCTAGACACAAAAGATCTCAAAACAGCAACGTTCTAGTTCTTGTTCCTTTCTTTGGAAGATTCGTATGTGTGACATCCTCAATTTCATGGCCAAAAAAGACTGATTTGTTTATGCTTAATTTAAAATCAGAGTATTATTCTAAAGAACAATATTTGCGGAATTTGTTCCCAAAATATGATAAAGATATTATCAAAGCATTTCAAAAGAAATGTATTTTAATTATATTAAAAACTGTAACACTCGTTTTCGAATCGCTTCATTATTCGGGGTTGTGCCCGATCATTAGTCATCATAAGGCCGAGGGCCTTGGGGAAGTAAGGATTTGGCCGTTTTTTGGATGTGTGTATTATAGATTAGATGATCCAAGAGTTCGATGGTGTTTCAGAGCCTAAGGGTATAATCGTAATTTGATAATCTGGTCCTTTATGAATTTTAGGTTTTTGGTTTGGGAAGTTTTAAGGCTAAGATGAGTTGTTAGAAGTGTAGGGCTTCTCGTCACCTTTTTGGGGATATAAAGTTCGTCTGAAGCGGACTTAGAACAAATGAGTTAGGGTCGAATGAAGTTTTAGGGTTTTGGAGGGACATCTAGTACGCGGGGCGTACTAGATGTGTACGCGGGGCGTACGGAGTATGTTGGTCGCGAGTGGTCGATGAGTACGCCGAGCGTACTAAGGGGTACGCGGGGTGTACTCCCTTCAGCACCGAACCCTAATTTTGGGGTTTTACCCCCTATATAAGCATCATTATAACCTTCCTTTGGGTCTTTTAAGTCAGCCTCCATCCCCTTTAGCATACATTGAAACCCTAGAGTGCCTTGAGTGAGTTTTGGAGCTTGGAAGAGTGTTTATGGTGGTTTGTGTAAAAGAAGAAGAAAGTTGAAGACTC